CAGTGGAGGATGGCTCAAGTGTTTGGGACCCTGCACCCACAAGGGAGATCCAGAGGAAGCACTTGATCCCTGACTTCAGACCAGCTCAGCTCTGGGCATTGCAACCATCTGGGGAGTGAACCAGTGGGTAGATCTTTCTCCGTAAAGCATGTTCTCATGACCCACCTAAGACCTCCTGAGACAAAAACTCTGGGGGGGCAGAATGGGGAGAGTTCCAAACAAACTGTGAGAACCCCTGACCCAGAGTGTGAATAGCAACACTCTTGCGTTTCTATAAAATATGAAAATGACAGATTAATATCTCATGTACTGTGCCCTGAGAGAGCATTCAGTCCATTGGGAGGTATAAATATTCCTGCTGATCCATGTTCAAGTACATGTTCTAGTAGGAAATGGGTCAGTGGGAAAGGCAGGGGACAGCCCTCAGAGGCAAGCCCTCTGCACTAGGTTTTTAACACAGTGTAGGAGATAGAGTCCAGGAACCAGACCCCACCCTGCTTCAAGACCCTTATCTTGTCGGGTCCAACAAAAAGGGCTGCCGCTGACCTGGAGCAGGTAGTAATCACCAAGATGCCGTGTGTGGTTCCTATGAGTGTGCCTGCCCAAGAGCCCGTGTGTCAGTTATCAGCTCCCCAGGCCCGTCCGCGGGAGCTATCTGCTGGCTCTAGGGCTGCCATGGCCCAGGGTGTGGTTCTGACTCTGGGGAGTGGCCACTGAACCGAGCTGGCTTCCCTGCCGAGGACACACCCTGTGCACACAAAAGTCACCCTCTAAAGCTGGAAATGGCCATGTCCTTTGCCCTGGAGGTATCAAAGAAAATAAGGCTTAGCAGTTAGGGAAGTGTTTTTTGGTTGCTGTTCTACAACCTTGATTGAATTAAGGGCAAATCTTGACCAGTTTTACTTCCTACCGGATTGATGCTTTCAGCAGCAATGTTGACAGAGCTTTTCTACGTCTCAGCTCCTCTTTCTGGAATAATCCATACATCCAGTGTCCCTCATGACTGCAGTGGGTTATTTGAGGGAAGAAAAGGACACTTAAGCTGATTAGGTGCATACTTCACACCCAGCATCGTGCTGGCTGGTGATCTTGGTCTCCAAGGGACGTGTGCTGGGAGAGGCAGTTCACTCCTGAAAGCTCCCCGGAGTTGCATCTCATGTCATGTATGCCACAAGCATCTTGAGCACTCACACTCTTCCTGGCTGACACAAGGGGCTGCTCTGTTTTTGTTTTTGTTTTTTAAAGATTTATTTTTATTATTTTTTTATTGGAAAGGCGGATATACAGAGAAGAGAGACAGACAGGAAGATCTTCCGTCCGATGATTCACTCCCCAAGTGAGCGCATCGGGCCGATGCTATGCCGATCCGAAGCCAGGAGCCTCTTCCGGGTCTCCCATGTGGGTGCAGGGTCCCAAAGCTTTGGGCCGTCCTCAACTGCTTTCCTGGGCCACAGGCAGGGAGCTGGAAGGGAAGCGGGGCTGCTGGGATAGAACCGGCGCCCATATGGGATCCCGTGCGTGCAAAGCAAGGACCTTAATCACTGTGCCACCGCGCCAGGCCCAAGGGGCTGCTCTGTTTTAAGTGCAAGTTGCGACACACAAAGCAGGACTCCTCAGTGAGCTGTTCCATGCTTCTCACAGTGGACCTTGCACCTGCACCTGTGCAGGGGAAGTGATGCTCTGCTGCTCCCAGCATACCCTATGTCCATGACTGATACCGCAGCACCTGCTGCAGCATTGGACTCTGAACCCCTGGCTGCTTACGCTCTGCCCTTCAGAGGCACTTCCTGTTCCAGGCTCTGCTTCCAGGTCATGCTCCCAGCACATCACTGGAGCCAAGTGCAAGGAGAGCAATGCACAGGAGTGCATACAGGTTCACCCTCAGCCTGAGTTGTCCCATGGCAGATGTTAATATCTAACCATAGATTGTGGCACAGCTGCTTTCTGGGCGTTTCTTGCCTGTGCAGCCATGTGTTCCAGGAGCATTTCACCATCTTACCATCTAGTCCCCTTGGGCTGTTACAAGTCACCAGAGCACAGGTCAGCGACTCAGCCACCAGATCTCAGTGCTTTGCCTGGGCCAGCCAGAGTATTGTGCTCTGGCCTTAGATCTGCTCCCATTTCTCCAAGTCCCCATTCCCTTTTCTGCAAAGCAGAAGTGTTGGAATGTGTGCGAAGATTAAGCCTGCAGTGAGATGAGACGGTGCTGGGTTGCCAGGGAGTCAGGCCTCCATCCTAGGGGAGGCTCTGGTCACACACTCTTGACTTGTAAAGTTTAGCTGAGAGCAGATATGCTTACCTTGGCTGTCCCTGAAACAGACAGCTGCTGAATCTTAGAGACAGCTTGGTGTTAAAAGGCCCATTCGGCTCAAAAGTGTTGAACTTCAAGGATATCAGAGAGGCTGCAAGGCTCAGTCATGTTCATTTCTTCTCAAAAAGGTTTCCAGAGTTGGAACTGTTTTGTTTGAGTAACCACTCCTGTAACTTCTTCCCTGCACTTGGGGAGAGGATGGGGGCAGGGAGGCTTGGAGGACAGCCAAGGACCGTTCTCTGCAGTCAAACAGACACAGCCCGGCGTCCTTGTGTGTTGAGTCACAGAGCCCTACCCAGGGTGTGTCCAGCTGAGGAACTCGGAGGGTAAACCAATCAGAATTGCAGCACAACACGTTAAGCCACCATTTGTGAGACCCACCCCCATATCAGAGTGCTTGGTTTTAAGTGTTGGCTGCTCTGCTTCTGATCCAGCTTCCTACAATGCATCCCAAAGGCAACAGGTGGTGATACACTTTCATCCACGGAAGTTCATCCTCTTGCTCCTCTTCCTTCCTCACAGTTTCCCCCTCCCACCATTTTCCCCTGAATTATCATAGGAGTACAGTGTCTTAACACTTACAAGTTTATCTTTCTTTTGTTTAAATTGCATCATGGCATGGTAGGTATAGACAAAGGTTTCAAATCTAGTATCATACTGTAAAGATATATTTAAATGTTTGATTGGGTGTCCTCCTTTCATTCAGGAGTAGAGATATGCACTGAAATATATCTTCGCTTACTAGTATGCTAGTCTCCATTGTACAATTCATCTACGAGAATGCATGTATATACATATATATGTGTGTGTGTGTGTGTGTGTGTTTATCTATATATATGTTTATTTTATACTTTACCTAAAGGTTGTCTTATGTCAGAGAGAAATATGGTATTTGTCCTTTTAGGACTAGCTTACTTCACTAAGTGTGATATCTCTAGTTGGGACCATTTTGTTGCAAATGGTGAGATTTCACTTTTTGTGGCTGAGTAGTATTCTGTAGAATAGATGTACCAGGACTGGTGCAATGTCTCAACTTGCGAATGCTCCACCTGCAAACATAGGCATTCCACATGGCCACCTGCTCGTATCCTGGCTGCTCCACTTCCCATCCAGCTCCCTGCTTATGTCCTGGAAAAGCAGCAGAGGATGGCCCAAAAATCTGGGGACCCTGTACCCACATAGGGGACCCGAAAAAGTTCCTGGTGCAGATCAACTCAACTCCTGCCATTACAAGCATTTGGGGAGTAAACCAGTAGATGAAAGATCTTTCTCTCTGTCTCACCTTCTCTGTTTAGATCTATCTTTTCAATAAAAGTAAATAAATCTTTTTTTAAAAAAAGTATATATCACAGTGTCTTACACACTCCTCTTTTGATGGGCATCTGGGTTGCTTTCATGTCTTCACTTTCGCGGATTGTGCTACTTCCAAATACTGTATTGCAGGTCATGCTCTTGTATGCAGGTTTCGTTTCATTTGGATATGAAATTTCATTTCATTTGGGCTAGCTGGGTCATATGGTAGATCCACTTTCAGTTGTTTGAGCACTCTCCATGTTCATTTCCATAGTGGCTGCCCTAGTCTGCACTCCCACCAGCAGTCAGTCGGGTATTTTTCTCCCCAGATCCTTGCCAGCAGTTGTTTGTTGACTTCTGTTGGTAGGCCATTCTCACTGGAACTAGGTGGAACCTCAATGTGGCTTTTATTTGCATTTCCCTACTAGCTAGGGAGCCTGAGTATTTTTTATCTATTAGTCATTTGAATTTTTCTTCTGAAAAACATCTGCTCATGTACTTTGCCCAGCTCTTAACAGAGTTGCTTGCTTTCCTATTGATGAGTTTCTGAAGCTTTTTGTAGATCTTGGATATTCGTTTCCTATCTGTTTTGTGGTATGCAAATATTTTCCCATCCTGTTGGTTGCCTCTTCACTTTGTTATCATTTTCTTTGCTGTACTGAGCATCTTGGTTTTATGTAGTCCCATTTGTTTTTACTTTGTTTGCTCTAAGAAGTCTTCCTATTCCTAGTGGCTTCTCATAAAAGCTGGCCAAAGTGATTGACAGCACAGCAGGCTGGGGAGCCATGCTCTGCTTTCCTAGCACTTTCTGAGCCTTACTGTGTATGGGATTGCTGTCCAAGGTAGAAGGGAAGCCTCAGGATGTCTGCTCTCACACTGGGCCCTGCCAAAAGACAAAAAAGCTTGGAATGGTTTTGTATCCTGTTTCTCTCTTCCTTCCTCTCTCCCTCTTACCCTCTCTCCTTCCCTCCCTCCCTCCTTCCTTCTCTCTCCTCTCTCTGTAATTTAATCTATCTTTTACCATTTTATTATGTTAAATACTTTCTCAAAGCTGTGATTTCCATTGGCTCATTCTATAGCAGTGACTACTGCAGTGGTGCAGATAAATCTAACTATAATATTGATCTGCAGAACCCAGGCATAAATGAGAACACGTGACGTGTGATTGAATACTTTCAATGTGTATGCTGCACACCTAAATAATTTTCAAGTCTTGCCGCATGACATATAGCCGTGTCTCTAGTGACCCTTTAGAAACCAGAAACTGACTCCCAGCTCTGTGTGATCTGCATGTGTGCAACTGCTGGTTGAATGAGACAGTGTGGTCCTTAAGGCCTCGGCCATGACTCACCTGGTGCCAGGAAGTGTCCTTATTATGCTGTTTTTTCTCGTGCAGAACCAACATGACCGTCCTCTCTAAGGAATACGGTTATGTCCTTCTGACGGGTGCTGCCAGCTTCGTCATGGTGCTTCACCTAGCCATCAATGTCGGCAAGGCCCGCAAGAAGTACAAAGTGGAGGTGAGTGAAACACAAGCTGAGTTTTCACAGGCTGGGCTGGGGCCACGGGCTTAACCGGGAGCTTATTTTTCAGTTGGGGGCAGGAGGGAGTGGCAGGAAGCTGGAGGCAGGCAGTAGCAGTTTCAGGACTGCACCTGTTAGAAATCCGGCTGCTTTGTGGTAGGAAAGAGGCAAGAAATGTGGGCTGAGAGGAGGTGGGGGGGAGTGACAGAGGGCTGATTTCCATCCAGCTTTACTTAGTCTCTTCCATGGAAAGACCAAGTATGCTAGCTTTGGAACAGTACCCTTTGGCTAGACCCAACTGCCAGGAATAGAGTTATTTTGTAAAGAGGATTACATGGCAACACAGTTTACTCATGTGCCACTTTAAAAATCATGTCTTAAGGTTATCTTTCTCTGTCAGATGCTTAATTTAGCCTGGGCTTGGCCAGTAGACACAGAGAAGAGATCTATAGCCTCTTGCTTTTGTTCTGGTTTAGAAGCGCTAATGGCTAAAGTGGTCCCTGGGGAGCAATTTTTAAAGTCTGTTTCCCTCTAGCCAATTACACTGAAAATCCCTCACTGGAACATCTTTTAAAATTTTTCCAATATGTCCTTCTTCTTTGTCATTGTCTTTTTTAGTTTCTTCTTCTTCTAATGGACACATCCATTAAATTCTCACATGCTCAATCATCCACTCCCCTATCAGGGGGGGTTGTAGAAGGTCATGGCGTTTGGTGACTCTTGGGAAACAGTCCCTCTGTGTCTTTATAATGCCCACAAAATCTCTCATAATTGTGTAATAGCAGACTAACACGGGGGCCTCCGTCCCTTGTGCAAGCACGAAACAAACAGATATTTATATCTTAGAAACATTGACTCTGCTCCTGAGAGCTGACATCCTTGTCTGTGTAAATATTTAAGCAGAAATCAGATGGTCATCTTCCAAGTGTATGACAGAGGATACTTTGGGAAATATTATTGTGAAGGTTAATTTTGAAGTTCAGCACCACATGCTACTCTTGACTGACTGATCACTGTTTTTTTTTGCAACAGTACCCTATCATGTACAGCTCAGACCCTGAGAATGGGCACATCTTCAACTGCATTCAGCGAGCCCACCAGAACACGTGAGTGTCGGCTGTGCTGGGCACCTGCAGATGGCTGCGGAGTGGGTGTGTGCCGTCCAACAGCTCTGCCATTGGTGACGATCACCTGCCGGATTGTCACTGGAAAACTATGTAGGCGAGCAGACTGAGAACAGAGAAAAATTGAGAGTTGATAGACTACTGGGCTCTTGGAATCATCTTTTCAAAGCTGTCTTGCACATTGCATTCCCTGGTACAGTGCTTGCAAAAGCGTGTCCTGTCTAAACTGATGCCAACATCCTGGGCTGGGGAGGCCCTGTCATCCGTAGGGAAGGCCACTCTGATTCTCCAAGACCTCCTTCATCCATTTGGGGTGTTGGAGGTCCTTTTGCTCGGCATCTTCTGGGTTACCTCTGACCAACCACAGAGCAGAAGAGTGTGGGCATGATGGGCCAGGGCTTCTCCCCAAGTCAGTGTTAATTTTGCCTCTCGAGTTGCTGCCTTGGCACATAAGCATGTAAGGGACTCTTGCTTGAGCATACTTCAGTGGGGCACTCTTTAATATTTCCTTCCGGGGACTGGCATTGTGGTATGGCAAGATAAGCTGCCAACTGCAGTAGCAGCATCCCGTATAAACGCTGGTTCAGATCCCTGCTGCTATACTTCTGATCCAGCTCCTTGCTATAATACACCCAAGGAAATCAGTGGAAAATGGCCCAAGAGCCTGACACTCCTGCACCCACTTGGGATAGCCAGATGAAGCCCCTGGTTCCTGGCTTTGGCCAGTACCAATCCTCACCATTATGGTCATTTGTAAAATGCACCAGTGGTTGGATGATGTGTATGTGTGTGTGTGTGTGTGTGTTGCTTCTCTCTCTGTAGCTCTGCCTTTCCAAATAAATAAAGATTTTTTTAAAAAATAAAATTTCTTTCTATTCCAGGTTGGAAGTATACCCTCCCTTCTTGTTTTTTCTGACTGTTGGAGGTGTTTACCACCCAGTAAGTTTTTCCTGAAGGTGGGGAGTGTAATCTGTTAGAATTTAGTTCACTGAACGAGTATGGGGCAGGGGGAGGAAATGAACGGCTTCCGGACACCATGTCTATACAAGGATGTTATTTAATGATTTCTTACAAATCCCTAAAAGTAAGTGAGTAGGTGGTGTTTCCCCCCGCCCACTTTTCTTTTCAAATAGGAACAGCTTCTTGCAGACTGTCTAACTTCCATAAGGGCCACATGGTTCCAGAGTAGATTCAGACTGATTTGGGTCTCTTAATAGGTTCATGACCGTAAGGGACTTCATGTGGCACACTCATACATACAGCAAGCACTGACTCCCCCAGAAGGCTACAGCAGTGAAGGAGACAGGCACACACCTGATTACATGCAGCTGCCCCCTTAGGGGCCACAGATATCGGCAGAAGTAAATGTGCCATGGTTTTTAAAGATGTGTTTATTTTCTTAAAAGTCAGAGTTACAGAGGTGGGGGCAGGGAGGGTGGACAGAGAGGGAAATCTTCCATCCTCTGGTTCACTTCTCAAATGGGTACAACAGCCAGAACTGGCCATTCTGAAGCCAGAGAAGCCTGGAGCCTCTACCAGGTCTGCCACATGGGTGCAGTGGACCAGGCTTTCTCAAGCTGTTAGCAGGGCGCTGGATAGCAAATGGAGCTGCAGCTGGGAGTGGAACCAGTCGCCACATGGGACACCAGTGCCGCAGGTGGCATCTCCACCTGCTACATCACATGGCCTGCCCCTGTGTGTTTGGAGGTGGTAAGCCTGTGGAGGAAAATGAAGCAGGCAGAGCAGAAAGGCAGTGTGAGGAAGGGCACGCCGAGGAGGGTTGTTGGTGCAGGGGACAGTTAGGAGGGGAGGGCGCAGGAGCTCTGTGTGACTGCAGGCCACAGGCTCTGCACACTCTGAAGGCACCTGCTCCATCGGTAAGTGAGAAGCCCACAGTGGAGTGAAGAGTGCAGGCAGACCCTGGGCCTTGGAGGCCTCTTCAGGTGGCCCTTGTGGCCCTGTAGGCATGGCCTGCACTTAACCATGCCTACAAGGCTGATTAGTTGCTGTCTTGCACAGAAACTACGCCCTTTCCAGGGACCAGAATGTCCCTGAAATGAGCTCTGGTCAGTGTCCAGGCACTTTGGACTTCTACATCTAAGCCTTTCATAACCACCACTGTCACCATCGCTACACCTGCCACCTCCCACTCCGCCCCACCCTGCCCCTCCCCGTCCCTCCCTGCCCTTCCCCACCCCGCCCCACCCGCCCTGGTAGGTACCTAATGGTCCTCTGCTTTGGTCACTAAGTTGCCACAATAGCCACCTGATGTCCTTGAAGGCTTGTATTTTTTTTTTCTAAGAAACATCAGGCTGTTCTTGTATCGCTTAGAGAGAAAAAATGTTTCTTTCTGATGCCTCTGAGGCACCTCCATCCTACCAAGTGGTTGCCCTGGCTGCTTTGAAGAGCCTGTTCTCCTTAGGGTAGGCGTCAAATGATGCCCCCCTCATCCCCATCCTGTCCCTCTTCCCTAGTCCCCGTCATCTGCCTCATTCTGAAAAAAAATACAAAACTCTCGCTTCTCAGAGGAATACAGTCAATGGCTGGGCAGGGATTGGCACTGTGGTGGCTTATGAAGCTGCTGTCTGCAGCACTGGCATCCCGTATGGGCACCGGTCTGATCCAGCTCCCTGCTAATATGCCTAGGAAAGCAGCAGCAGCTGACCCAAGTTCTTGAGTCCCTGCACCCCTTAGAATCAGCCTGGTTTTGAATCAGCCCAGCTTCACCTTTTGCGGCCATTTGGGGAGTGAACCAGCAGATGGAGGATCTCTCTCTCTCTCTCTGTGTAACTCTGCCATTTAATTTTTTTAAAAAGAAGAAAAAGAAAAGAGAATAAAGGAAAGGGAAGGGGAGGAGATGGGAAACGAAAGGCAGTTGAACAAAGGCCACAGAGCTGATGGAGACTTAGAGGACTGCGGTGTGTAATTGTCACTTGTTAGACCCTCCTGCTGATATTTAACTCTACCCCAAGTCAATTTGAACCAAAGCTTGAAGCTGCCACCTCACCACACTGCTAGATGGGAAGGCACGGGGGAAAGCCACCTTCTCACACACACCCTCTAGTTTGTTGGGGGTTTTTTGGGGGGTTTGTTTTGTTTTGTTTTTTCCTTCTGATTCCTTTCAACCAAATGGGAGGATTGCTCCTCTTACCTAACTTTTTGATCTCGTTCTTCTCCGGTGCTGTGGAAAGGGAGGTTTCCCTCCCCAGCTACCTGCTCCGGGGCTCTCTCCACTGTGCTCAGGGAGCCATACCCCGGCAGGCAGGCTGCAGAGCCACCTGCTTACAGTTCTTCCCGGGGATGACCTCTCTAAAGACTTGCCCCAAGCAGCTGGCTCGGGTTCAAGGACTCATCGGGGATAGCAGGGCTTGCCCTCTGGTCCCGACTCTAGGTTAACCGCCTCGCCCATCTTACTGCAAGGACCCTGGGCCCACCTGTACCTCTCCATGGCTCTAGCACAAGTTCTTCTAGTTACACAGGGAAAGCTGGGAGACTGTGCATCCTAACTGCCTTGGAGGCCAATCCTTAGCGCCCAGTCAGCAACAATTGATAGAAGAATCACAAATTTTTTATTTCCTTGGCTGAAACCAGGCACTAAACTCTATCTTAACTTCAGTGGGGAGTTACTGTAGCAAAGTCATAAAATGATTAACGTTCAGATAGTACATTACATAACCAATCCTAGGTGTGACTCAAGGTTGGCCTGCTCCCTGAATGCCAGTCCTAACATGGCACTTTTCTCACAGCGCATAGCTTCTGGCCTGGGCTGCGCATGGATCATCGGACGAGTGCTTTACGCTTACGGCTATTATACAGGAGGTGAGTGCCTGTTGGCAAGCGTAAGTCAAGCATGTACCTCTTACATCTGCTCTGTTCTTCTTGAAGCGGAAGTAGCTTGTTAATGTAGGTGCGAGGTCTAGAGTTTGTTTTTACTAACCTTTGAAAAATGACAGTTTATTTTTATTGAGCATTTCCTATGGGCCAAATGTTGCTCCGAGAACTTCATCTATGCCATATAACTTTATAAGCAGTTTATCATATAGATAATATCCCATTCTATAGACGAGGAAAGTGAGGCTTGGAAAGACGAAGACCCTGTGTCACACAGCTCCAAAAGTGTAAGTTTACTATTAAGGCAGAACACAATTAAGTACCCAGGCAGTCTGGCCCCAGAGCAGCAGGTCTATTACCCAGGCAGTTTGGCCCCAGAGCAGCAGTGTGCTGGAGGCCTTGTGAGTCTGCAGCAGCCCCAGTAACCTGCTGTTCCTTCTTCTTTTGCAGACCCCAGCAAGCGGTATCGTGGAGGCGTGTCCTCCCTTGCCCTCCTGGCCTTGATGGGCACCACAGTGTGCTCGGCTTTCCAGCATCTTGGCTGGATTAAACCCAGTTTGGGCAGTGGGTCCAAGTCCTGCCACTGAAGAATTATGAGTTTAAAAAAAAAAAACTCCTTCATTTTGAATGACTTTTATTTCCAGTTACCTTTTCTTTCTGTCTTCTGAATGTAATAAACACCTACATGGCATCAGCCTCATACTCCCTAAGCCTCCCGACTTCCTGCCTATTCCCTCTTGCGTCTTTTTCAATAGCTGGTCTGCTCCTGGGAGAGACAGAGGAGCCGCCGGAAGTGCAAGCCCCTCTTCCCCCTGGCAGCAGCTGTTCCATGGCATGTGGAGCTGAGAAGTATGCATGCCAGTCGGGAAGTCTTCCAGCTCTAGGTAAGACATATTAGCTTACCACTGGTTATAGATACATAGGACTTTTATGAAATCTTACTCCGTGATGCTACTATTGCTTAAACACTAAAGCACAGGGCCAGTGTGGTAGCTCAATAGGCTAATCCTCCACCAGCAGCACCCGCATACCATATGGGCACCAATTCTATCTGGTTGTTCCACTTTCAATCCAGCTCCCTGGTTACAGCCTGGAAAGCAGTGGAAGATGGCTCAAGTCTGTGAACCCCTGCACCCAAGTGGGAGATAGAAAAGAAGCCCCTGGCTCCTGGCTTCAGATCAGCTCAGCTCCAGCCATTGAGGCCAGCTGGGGAGTGAATCAGCAGGTGAAACTTCTGTCTCCTTTTTTCTATAAATCTGCCTTTCAAATAAAAATATCTTTTTAAAAATAAAGAAGAAACTGAAGTGATAAACTAAATTTTTGGAAACAAAAAATTTTTTAAAGCTTCTCTGCAACTGATTCTTGGCTTTTGATTTATTTATTTATTTGTTTTAGATTTATTTGATTTTTATTGGAAAGTCTGATATACAGAGAGAAGGAGACACAGAGAGAAAGATCTTCCGTCTGTTGATTCACTCCCCAAGTGACCGCAACAGCTGGTGCTGTGCCCATCTGAAACCAGGAGCCAGGAACTTCTTCCGGGTCTCCCATGTGGGTGCAGGGACCCAAGGCTTTGGGCCGTCTTCTGTCCTCGACTGCTTTCCCTGGCCACAAGCAGGGAGCTGGATGGGAAGTGGAGCTGCTGGGATTAAAACCGGCGCCCATATGGGATCCTGGCGCGTTCAAGGTGAGGACTTTAGCCACTAGGCCACAGCGCCGAACCCTGGAAACAAATTCTTAACAAGGGTGAGTGTCACTCTGTTTTTGAATAGAAAGAGTTGATTTTATGGATGTAAGTGGGGAGGCTTAGGTGCTCTCAGATAAGTTAGAGAATGACGTAAGTTGACAACATAAGATAGTTGCTCCAAAGTTGACGTGACCATAGCATTAGCGCGTCTGACCCTGTGCTAACACAGCAGCTGCTAGCCACATATGGCTGCCCAAGTGAACAAAAGGTCAGGGCAACCCAAAAACCAGCACGTTGGTTGTACCAGCCACATTCCAAGTGTTCAGCAGTTGACATGGCGTGCAGGTAAGACTGAACTCGGGTCTAACTGTGAGATCCGTGCCATTCCCCACTGGAGCAGTCTTGTCTGAACCCTGGAGGGAAAGCATGTACAAAAGGCATGCTATCAGGGTCAGCCCCTGGAGATGGCCAGCCTTGGCGGGATGGCCAGCTGGAGCCCTGGGCTAGGTGAGCACACACTGCAGCCAGCTCCTGAGACACTTTCCACTAGTCCAGAGAAAAATGAGCTTCCTTCTTCACAAAGACTTTTTAAAGTTGTTCCTTTGTGGGCCAAGCACAGTAGCCTAGTGGCTGAAGTCCTCACCTTGCATGCGCCGGGATTCCATATGGGCGCCGGTTCGTGTCCTAGCTGCTCCAATTCCCATCCAGCTCCCTGCTTGTGGTGGACAAAGGTCTTGGGACCCTGCACCCATGTGTGAGACCCAGAAGCAGCTCCTGGCTCCTGGCTTCAGATCAACTCAGCTCCAGCCATTGTGGCCACTTGGGGAGTGAACCAGCAAATGGATCTTTCTCTCCATCTCTCTGCAAATCTGACTTCCCGATAGAAATAAATTAGTCTTTTAAAAAAAAAAAAAAACTTCCTTTGTGAAGTCATGGCTATAGAATATGATAGGTATTTTTTTTTTCTGACTTGAAAACGCTATAGGTAGGAATCTGCAGTGGGCTGGGTTTTATTTCATTGCTGTTGTAGTTGTTGTTTCCAGAGAACTGGAAGGAGCTGGAGAACTTGCCAGAGTTTCCTTCCTTCCCATCCCCCACCCCGCTCAGACCCCAGGCACCAGCAAGGCAGAGCAGAATAGAAACCAGTGGAGCTTTATAGCAGGAACCCTAGGAGGCGAAAGGTGCTGTGGTTGGCTTGGCCAACTCAGTCTTATCTGGTCACACACTGTCAGGAAACCCGTGAGCTTGGCAAAGTCCATGTGGCACATGGCACTTTTCCAGAGAATAACCCTGCCTGGCAAACTGGGTTGTGTTCATTCCCCCAGTCTTTGGAGGGAGGGGGGAATGGCACTTCCACTAACTAATGTATTAGCAATGTACATCTCAGAGTGCGTCCCAGGAGAAACACATCCTGAGCTGTGCTGTGCACAGATGGAAATCAGAGAGCCAAAGCAGCTTGTACAAGCCCAGCTGATCACACTGCACCGCCACCTGCAGTTAGCTGTGTGTCCCAGGGCAGTTTATGTGCCCTGCTAAGGGCTAGACTGAAGATGATGAGAAGTTCCCAAGGCTCAGACAGCCCTGCAGGTACAGCACCTAGCAGTCTCTGGTTCAGCGCCAGTCTCAGGTGCCAGCATCAGCTGTTCTAGGAAGCATGGGCGCCACCTGGTGGTGTAACTCAGGAAGAACCAGCAGCCAGAATATCTGGTCTAGTGACTCCAGCGTTTGCTTCATTTCTTTAATTCACTCCTTAAAGCACTCAAAACTGCTCTCTTAACTTCATCAAAAGTCTTCCACAGTCACCCAGCTCTCTATCAGTAGTACTGTCCAAATGGATGTTCTGATACGGTGTGGAAGGGCTGTGCATCTGCATCGTCCAGCTCAGCAACCACAACCTGCATGTGTGTGGCTCCTGAACACTCAGAAGGTGGCTACAGCAACTGGTCAGCTAAGCTTTAGTTCCGTTTGAATGACTATATTTGCGTAGCTGCATGTCCCTAGCGACTATGTGGATAGCACAGCTCTCAGAGATGTGGCTCTCAATCCCAGCCACCTGTCTTACTTGTCCCCAGGGACCTTTGTGATGCCAGATGCCAGATACATAGAGTAAATCTGCCTCAGTGTCTCTGACGCTCTCTCGGGGCAAGTCCACCATGGACTGAGAAGCACTGTTCTAGGGCAGGGCCTGGCAGACGAGCGTGCTGACCATCCCCAGGGGCTCCTGTTGAAAGGGAGGTGCCGGGTGAGCACAGGGTCTGCCTTCCCAGCAGGCAGCAGCTGTGGGTCCTGCCTGGGCCAGCCCAGCCTTCCGCTCACAAGTGCCAACACTCACCAGCTTGTCAGAGACTCCGTGGCGCTGTCAGTGCCTGCTTTCGGTTTTCTTTCTATTTGAGAATGATACAGTCAACAGTTCCAGATAGCACTAAATGCTTTGAATTAACAGAACATAGTAATGGAGAAAAGTTGGACAAAGGTGTGTACACGGCTACTTGAACTTGAAGGGGGTCAGCAAGGGGAGAGAGCAGTGAGCGAGAGCAAGCCTGCCAGGGGAGTGAGCAGGCCAGTGGAGAGTGACGGGAAGGGTCAAATCAGAGAACGGTGAAAGCTATGCAAGTTTAGACTTTACCTGAACACCAGTTAAAATGCATAAGGCTCAAGAACATGACATAATCTGATTTTCTCTTTGTTTTTCATGGCATCTAACTGCAAAGCATCTTTTATTCCATGGCTGACTCCCATCCCCGCCCCCACCCCGGATGCTAAGGTAAACCAAGGCTGGTGTTAGATATATGTAAGAAAAGCCAAGGGATTGATTCATTTTGCCTCAGAGGAAAGCCAAACACACAAAAGGCATTTCAGGGACTCAGACCTTGTAAAACCAGGCCAGGCTGTAGAGAGTTCCCCCTTCCACAGACGCTCTGGGTTTGTCTGTCTGAGAGGATGGGAGACAGAGAGCTCCCATCTACTGCTCCACTCTCCAGATACCCACGATGGCAGGGGAGCCTGGAACATGATCCATGCTGGGCATGCTCAGCTAACAAAAATACCTCCCACAGTGTGCCCGAGTCCTGACTCTCAGACCCAGGGAATGTTCCTTTAGACTCAGCAAGATTAGGCGTAAGCAGATGAAGGATTCTTATGAGATTCAGATGGGCCCTAAACTCCATCATAGGCATCCTTCTAAGAGGGAAGCAAGGGCAGCGTTTTTAATCTAGAAGATGCCCACCTATCTCAGTCCCTGGGTTCAGGACCTGCCTGGTACCGATGCAGACCCAGGAAAGCCATGGAGATGACTTGGATGATTGGGTTGCTGCCACCCACACAGGCAACCTGGATTGACTTATTTGTTCCCATCTTTGACCCCAGCCGGGAGCCACTGCGGGCATTTAAACAATGAACCAGCAGATGGGGGAAGGTCCCATGATTCTTTTTCTCTCATAAACAAGTAACTTCCAAAATGAGAGGTTTGGGACTGGCACTGTAGCACGGCGGTGGAGGCTAAGCCACAGCTTGTGACACACCAGCCAACCCATGCCAGAAAACTTGAATGCTCTACTTCTGTCCAGGTTCCTGCTAATACGCCTGGGAAGGCAATGAATGATGGCCCGGGTGCTTGGGCCCTGTAACTCATGCGGAAGATTCAGGTAGAGTTCCTGGCTCCTGGCTTCAACTTGTGCCAGTCCCACACAGTGTAGCCCTCTGGGGAGTGAGCATCCCCCTTTCTCTGTCATTGCCTTCCAAATAAAATAAATGAAACAAAAAGGGAAGTTTGGTGACAAGGAAAAAAGGAGGCAATGGAAGCAGAGGTCTGAAGACCCTAGGCTATGGGTTTAGAAAATCGAGGACAGGGCCATAGCCAGAGTACAGGGGCCGCAACTCCAGTCGGAGAAAAGACAAAGCAAGAACTCCCTCCAGAGCCTTTGGATGCAGCGCGGCTGCCAGTTCCTTGTTTTCAACCAAATGAAATCAGGTTGGCCCTCCCAACGTATAATATAACTGATCTTCGTGGTTTTCT